TAAGTTACGCACTTCCCTTGGTACCAATCGTAGGGGTAAGCATCGTACTCATTCCTGGTACCAACCTTATGGGTAAGTAACGCATTTACTCGTAGTACCATCCATATAGGTAAGTAATGTTGGGTGCAAATTCACTTTGCACGACATCCTGCCGTCTGTTTGTACGGGAATGCGAGTGCGAATTCTTTTGCGGTTGAATGGTTTGCTTGTGTTTTTGTTTGCTTTGCAATTTTTGCTTGATGCACTTGCAGGTACTCGCGCAATGTGCGCTTCGGCACAACATTGTACGCGCTATGAACAGTGCAAGAGAAAGGACGAGCCCGCGAAGGAACCCCAGATGGAAGCTTTGCGGTTGGGTTTAGTTGAATGCGCAGATTCAGTTTTATCCAACTCAGAATTGTATTGTTGTGTTTGGTTAACTATAGCGTAGCAGGGCACGCACTATATGGGTACAATTGCGGAGATAACTTAATCAACGGGAGCTAGACTACGAGCTAGGCACGGGGTGGGAGTGATCTCTGCGTTCCTTAGTTGTTTGCTTGTGTGTTCTCTGCTTGCATATTCACGGGGAGATTTTGCAAGAGTTTCACTAAGGAAAGTTGACAACAATGATTGATACAACATTGGCAACACAGACTACATCAGAGCTAGCTAGGCTGCTGGTCGACCTCCAGCGCAGCATGGTCGACCGCGATCCACCGCAGCAGAGCTCGCACCGCTCCAGCGTTGGGGTGTAGCGGTTTGCCAACGTTGCAAGTCCACGGTGTGCCAACGCTGCAGCAAGTCGGCTGCACAGTGTTGCACCCGCAGGACAAGTGCAGCTGGTTGGTGCACCACTCCTTGTCAAGTGCACAGCGCAGCCGCACAGGTCGAGTCCACGCCAGCGACTGCGCCTACCAGCCACGTCGACCTCGGAATACCACTTCCGAGGTCGGCCTCGCAGCAACCACCCCGGCGACCATCGCACACGTCGCTCGGGTAACTCGGTCGACCGGGCAACCACGCCTGGTCGCCCAGCCCAGTCAGACGGCGGCTACACCAGACCGGCGTCCCCATAAGAGGTGTCCCAGCACCCAGGTCGGCGTCCAGACGCCTAGGTCGGCGTGCAGACGCCCAGGTCGGCGTCTAGGCGCCCAGGTCGGCGTCCAGGCTCCCAGGACGCCGCCCAGACGCCTAGGTCGGCGTCCAGGCGCCCAGGACGCCGTGCAGATGCCCAGGTCGGCGTCCAGGCTCCCAGGACGCCGTCCAGACGCCCATGACGGCGTCCTCCTGCTCGGCGCCCTCCAGCTCGGCGCCCTCCACTGCAGCTGATCGGCTGCGCTCTCCACACACCTGACTAAGAAGTCGGCTCCGCCCAAGCGAGGACGGGGCCAACCACAACTCCCGTTGACAACAATTAGGTGAAGGTTGGATGTTGTTTGTCTGTATCTGCATGCTACAGGGCCAGGGGAAACCAGCGGAACCTCAATTTGGCTTGATGGGCAAGGACAAAACATGTTCTGTTTTGAGGACCTGAACATGGTTGTTCCCAGGTTGATTCCCAAGGTCCTTGCTAGCTCTACCTATGTATTCCTTCTCTGTTTATACTCTGGATATAGTCAAATTGATTCAAGTGAATTCCTTCCTTGCTGGAATTTCGTTTCTACGCGGTTCGACGGTGGAATGCTACCCAGTCAACGCTAGTAGCATGACGACGCTAGGGACACGCTGTCCAAGCCATAACTCTGCAATGTCATAACTTTTTGCGAGGCAAGTTGGCGTATTTTAAAGCACTTGAAGCGAGATTTGATATAGGAAAATCTCAGCTTAATCCGATCGACAGTGTGACCGGCACGCTGCGAAATGTTCAAGGTACTCTTGCTGTATTGACTAAGCCTTTCTTGATTCCTCTCTCTACAAACTCGGACCCGAGGATAGCGGCTGGTCTTGTACCACGCACCCAAGGACCCTTGGAGGTGACCCCGAGGAGAGGTTCTAAGTTGATTAAGTCTTAATAGCCTGAGTTTGTTAGGCCCTACACCAACAAGTAACGCCCTAACTTGGTACCAACCATATGGGTAAGTAACGCACTCACTCTTGGTACCAACCATTTGGTTAAGTAACGTACTTATTCTTGTACGTAATGCACTTACTTTTGGTACCAAGCATATGGGTAAGTAACGCACTCACTCTTGTACCAACCGTTAGGGTAAGTAACGCACTTACTCTTGGTACCAACCATATGGGAAAGTAATGCACATACATTTGGTACCAACCATGTAGGTAAGTAACACACTCACTCTTGGTACCAACCATATGGGCAAGTAACGCGATCACTCTTGGTACCAACCATATGGGTAAGTAACGCACTTACTCTTGATACCAACCATATGAGTAAGTAACGCACAAATTCTTGGTACCAACCACATGGGTAAGTAACGCACTCTCTCTTGATACCAACCATATGGGTAACTAACGCATATACTCTTGGTACCAACCATACGCGTAAATGATGTACTCACTCTTGGTACCGACCATATGGGTAAGTAACGCACTTATTCATGGTACCAACCATATGAGGAAGTAACACACTCACTCTTGGTACCAACCCTACGGGTAAGTAATGCATTTACCATTAATACCAACGGTATGAGTAAGTAACGCACATATTCTTGGTACCAACCATATGGGTAAGTAACGCACTCACTTTTGGTACCAACCATATGGGTAAGTGACGCATTTACTCTTAGTACCAACCATATGAGTAAGTAACGCACTTCTTCTTGATACCAACCAAATCGGTGAGTAACGCACTCACTCTTGGTACCATCGATATGGGTAAGTAACGCACCCCTCTCTTGGTAACAACCATATGGGTAGGTTACGCACTCACTCCTGGTACCAACCATATGGGTAAGTAACGTACTTACTGTTGGTACCGTCCATAAAGGTAAGTAGCCAACATACTTGGTACCAACCATATGGGTAAAAAACGCAGTCACTCTTGGTACCAACCATTTGGGTAAGTAACGCACTTACTCTTGGCACCAGCCATATGGGTAAGTAACGCACTTACTCTTGGTAACAACCATATGGGTAAGTAACGCACCCACTCTTGGTACCAACCATATGGGTAAGTAACGCACTAACTATTTATGCCAACAATACGGGTAAGTAACGCACTTACTCTTACTTCCAACCATATGGGTCGGTAACGCTCATTCTCTTGGTACCAACCATATGGGTAAGTACGCACATAGTCTTACTATCAACCATATGGGTAAGTAACGCACTAACTCTTGGTACCAATGATAAGAGTAAGTAGCGCACTAACTCTTGGTATCAACCATATGGGTAAGGAACACCTCACGGACCCTGCTTTCCGCCACGCCATTTTGCTGAGGGGAATGAGGTAGGGTGTAGGTGTGAATAATGCCACGAGTGGTGCAGTAGGATGAGAGCATGTTGTTAAGGAACTCACCACCGCCATCAGAGTGGAAGCGGGAGACAGGGCGTTTGAAATGGGTGCGAGTTTGTTCAGCCCAGGCAATGATAGCAGCCGGGGCCTCCGCCTTCGTGCGAAGGAGGGAGACGGAGGAGTAACGGCTGTGGTCATCCACCAGGATGAGCAGGTATTTGTGACCTTGCCTGGTGGGGGAAGGGTTGGGGCCCCAGAGATCCATGTGGACAAGATCAAGAGGATGGGGAGAAAAGGAGGGATGACTCTTGTGGGGGGCCTGTTTCAGTTTGCTTTCAACGCATACTGAGCAGGGAGGGGAGGGCGACGGGGGGAGAGGGGGGGAGGGTGAGGGGGAGTCCGTCGAGGAGTTTGGTGGAGACAGTTTGACGGAGGGTGGCAAAGTTGGGATGACCCAACCGATGGTGAAGGAGAACTGCGGGGTGGGTGAGGTCACGACAGTGACATGAGGGGGTGGGGGAGGGGGGGGGAGTGGGAGGAGTGGGAGGAGTGGTGGGGGGGGGGGGGGGGGAGGGGATGGGAGGAGGGGAGGGGGAGGGGAGGGGAAGTGAGGGAAGGGGGAGGGGTGCCGTGGGGGCGATGAGGTGGTGGATGGAGGTGCGAGGGGTGCGGTATGTGTACATGTTTGTGTGAGGGCAGAGGGGAATGCGACAGATGAAGTGGCCAGTGGAGGTATGAAAGAGGTCGCAGTGACGTGCATGACCAGGGAAGAGGGCGGTGATATCGAACCTGGTGAGGTCACAAAGGGCTACCAGATTGTTGCGTAGGGAGGGAATGTATAGACCTGTGACTGTACCTGAGGGGAAGATTGGACAAGGGAGGGTGGAGGTGTATCGACTTGTGATGGTGAAGCTGGAGTCAGCTCCGTGGATAGTGGAGGGAGTGGGGAGAGGTACCAGTGTGCCCGCATCCCGAAGGACAGTGTGTGTGGCTCCACTGTCAAGGATAAACTCAAGGCATGCAGAAGAGGAGGAGTAGGCAGAATACTGGAAGAGGGACTCATTGATAGCATGGGCATACCGAGGATCAGCAGGAGCGGTGCTCACATGGCCTATGAATCCAGCAGAGGGGAACGGAGTAAAGCCATGAGGGTTGATGGAGGAGGAGGTCTGTTCAGCAGCAGTAGCAGCAGATGCCGGGGGCCCATGGCCATATCCAGGAGGTGGGTAAGGAGGGTAAAGCCAGCCAGCATAGGGTGGAGGGTAGTGAGCGAGAGGGGCTGGAGGCGGAGGTGTGGGTGGAAGAGGAGTGGGAGTGGTGGGAGTGGGGGTGGAGGGGAGAAGATGCTGAACTTGTTGAGGGATGTGATATGGGAGATGATGAGTGAGGACATTGTGAAGGTTGGGAGTAGAAAGTTGATAGGCGGGGAGGGTGTGGATGTCATGGCGAAGCTCGAGCTTGTCAATAGCTCCGAGCCTACTGGGAGTGGAGTCGTCCGCCATGAGGAGGAGGAGGGGGGGAGGGGGTGACGACACCGGCTTGAGGGCGGGTGCGGTCAAACAGGGGGGGGGAAGGAACGACACCACCTGGAAGGGTGGTGCGGTCATGTTGCGTGCGGCGGCGCCGGGTTACCCGCAGCTGCGTTTGTGTCGCCCGCGGATGCGCCTGTTCGCCCACGGGTGCGCGTTCGTTCGCGGCTGCGCCTCGTCGACCGCGGGTGCGCATCCGTCCGCGGCTGCGCCTTGTCGCCCGCGGGTGCGCGTCTGTCCGCGGATGCGCCTCGTCGCCCGCGGGTGCGCGTCCGTCCGCGGATGCGCCTCGTCGCCCGCGGGTGCGCGTACGACCGCGGGTGCGCCTCGTCGCCCGCGGGTGCGCGTCTGTCCGCGGATGCGCCTCGTCGCCCGCGGGTGCGCGTCTGTCCGCGGATGCGCCTCGTCGCCCGCGGGTGCACGTCCGTCCGCGGATGCGCCTCGTCGCCCGCGGGTGTCCGTCCGTCGGCGGAAATCGCCGCGATGGTCGCGTCCGTCCTCGTCGGCGGAATCCGCCGCGGTGGTCGCGTCCGCCCTCGTCGGCGGAATCCGCCGCGGTGGTCGCGTCCGTCCTCGTCGGCGGGATGCGCCGCGGTGGTCGCGTCCGCCCTCGTCGGCGGGATGCGCCGCGGTGGTCGCGTCCGCCCTCGTCGGCGGGATGCGCCGCGGTGGTCGCGTCCGCCCTCGTCGGCAGGATGCGCCGCGGTGGTCGCGTCCGCCCTCGTCGGCGGAATCCGCCGCGGTGGTCGCGTCCGCCCTCGTCGGCGGGATGCGCCGCGGTGGTCGCGTCCGCCCTCGTCGGCGGGATGCGCCGCGGTGGTCGCGTCCGCCCTCGTCGGCGGGATGCGCCGCGGTGAGGGAGGGGAAGGGAGGGGGGAGGAAGCGGGCTGCCGAACGTAACTTGTGCGGGGGAGGCACGGGAGAGTGCGTGAGTACGAGAGGGGAGGGGGGCCGTGAAGGCGTAATAGCGCAACTTAGGCGCGAAGAGCGGCAAAGAGCCGTGTGAGAGAGGGGGGCGTGATACGGCACGCGTTAGGTGTGGTCCTTAGGATCGAGAGACGGTGTTAACCGTTGTAGCTCTGATTACCATGTGAGAAAACGTGAGGAAGAACCATTGGTTTCATTAGGAGAGATGGGGGTATACATAGTAGTGCTAAAAGGGGGGGGGGGGGGGGGTTGTTGGAACCAAGCCAACATTATTGGCCCCTACCAATAAGTTGGGTTGAGGGATTATTGGGGGGACCAATAATGTTGACCAAGTGGTTCAACATTATTGGGGGGACCAATAATTCCCAACCCAACCTTGGGGGCCAAGGTTTGAGTTCCAACCCCCAACTAGGGTTAGCCCTAGTTCTACACCCAAACTAAGTTTGGGTGGCTATCTCTAACATAAGCTTATAGGATTGATGTAGGTTACAATGAGGATGGTAATCTGACATCCACCACACCATAGTTGTGGGAGGAGGGAGCGGCCATCCACCACACCATAGTTGTGGGAGGAGGGAGCGGCCATCCACCACACCATAGTTGTGGGAGGAGGGAGCGGCCATCCACCACACCATAGTTGTGGGAGGAGGGAGCGGCCATCCACCACACCATAGTTGTGGGAGGAGGGAGCGGCCATCCACCACACCATAGTTGTGGGAGGAGGGAGCGGCCATCCACCACACCATACTTGTGGGAGGAGGGAGCGGCCATCCACCACACCATAGTTGTGGGAGGAGGGAGCGGCCATCCACCACACCATAGTTGTGGGAGGAGGGAGCGGCCATCCACCACACCATAGTTGTGGGAGGAGGGAGCGGCCATCCACCACACCATAGTTGTGGGAGGAGGGAGCGGCCATCCACCACACCATAGTTGTGGGAGGAGGGAGCGGCCATCCACCACACCATAGTTGTGGGAGGAGGGAGCGGCCATCCACCACACCATAGTTGTGGGAGGAGGGAGCGGCCATCCACCACACCATAGTTGTGGGAGGAGGGAGCGGCCATCCACCACACCATAGTTGTGGGAGGAGGGAGCGGCCATCCACCACACCATAGTTGTGGGAGGAGGGAGCGGCCATCCACCACACCATAGTTGTGGGAGGAGGGAGCGGCCATCCACCACACCATAGTTGTGGGAGGAGGGAGCGGCCATCCACCACACCATAGTTGTGGGAGGAGGGAGCGGCCATCCACCACACCATAGTTGTGGGAGGAGGGAGCAGCCATCTACGGCTGTGGGCTGCACACAGCCGGGCGTTCTTCCCTGCTCCCAATCTTTCCACCTCTTTCCCCAGAGCGCTGCAAGTTATTGCATCCCCGGGTTGTCGTTTGCGACTGTTGTTGAGGAACCAAGCAGAGCGGTGTTCGTGATTATCATGACTGCTCTTTGTTCGCACCTGTCTGCACCTACCCGCACCTACCCGCACCTACCCGCCCCTATCCACGCCCACGCGTGCGCCTGCCCACATCACCTGTTTGATGTTGTAGCCGGGGCTGGGGTCATTGGAGATGCGCAGCACACAGTGACTTTTAAGTCTCACGTACCTGCACCTACCTATCCGCACCTACCAGAACCTATCCGCACACCCATCCTCACCTGTTCGATGTTGTAGCCGGGGCTGGGGTCATTGGAGATGCCTAGCACACGTGCGAAGCAGTCTATCTGCACCTGTACCGCACCGCACCTACCCGCACCTATTCACACCCCTGCATACCCATGCGTGCACTGGCATCACCTACCTGCTCGATGTTGTAGCCCGGGCTGGGGTCGTTGGAGATGTTGAGCACACGGGCGAAGCGGTCCAGACAGTTGCCCACCGCGATGTCGATGGTCTCCCCGAATATGCGGTACCGCCCCTCCGAGTATGCTATCACCTGGGGGGAGGAGAGGGGGGAGGAGTCGGAGGGCAGGGCTGTGGTTGCAGTGCGGCCCATCAGAGTATGATATTACCTGGTGGCACGAGAGGGTGGGGCGGGGCTTGGAGGCGCCTCAAAAGCGGATGAATATGCGGTACCCCCTCTCTGAGTACGGCATCGCCTGGGGGGAGGACATGCAGGGGAGGAGGGGGGAAGGTGAGGGGGGCATTGAGGCGGCTCAAATGTCTATGGTCTCCCTGAATATGCGGTACGCCCCCTCTGAGTGCGCTATCACCTGGGGGGACCAGAGTGGAGAGGGAGTGCGTGGAAGGTGGGTTTAGAGGCGGCTCTAGTGTCGATCACCTGAGGGGAGACCATTCACATCTGAGGGTGGGGACGGGGGGGGAGGCGGTGGGGGGGGTTTCATGGAAAAAGGTGAGGGATGGCGGCGGGGGGTGAGGAGGGGCCAACCTGATGGCGCATCGACGTCCAGGGGGTGTGCCGCAACAAGGAGAGTTGCACAGGGGGTCGATCAGATGTCGGGTTGTGTGGGGCAGGGGGGTGATGCGAAGGAGGGAGTGTGGTTCAAGGCAGGGGCAGTGCCGTGTGGAGCCCCCCAGGCTGTGCAGCAGAGACGTCTGCTGAAGTGCCCTGAGGCGAAATGGGCCGGGGTGGAGAGGAGAATTGGTGCAAGTGGACATGGTTCACCTGAAACAGTGCTGCCGTGCCATGCCATGCCATGCCATTGACATGGTTCAGATCAAGCAGTGAGAAGCAAAGCAGCGGAATGAACGCCTGTCACCAACATGCAGTAGCGGGCCTGGTCACGAGCTGGTGGGCAGCTGCTGATTCGGCCATGGGCTGCTGCGCATGGGACATCGGATTGATGGGGAATGCGCCATGGGGCCTGATGGGGAATGCGCCACGGGGCCTGATGGGGAATGCGCCATGGGGCCTGATGGGGAATGCGCCATGGGGCCTGATGGGGAATGCGCCACGGGGCCTGATGGGGAATGCGCCATGGGGCCTGATGGGGAATGCGCCATGGGGCCTGATGGGGAATGCGCCATGGGGCCTGATGGGGAATGCGCCATGGGGCCTGATGGGGAATGCGCCACGGGGCCTGATGGGGAATGCGCCATGGGGCCTGATGGGGAATGCGCCATGGGGCCTGATGGGGAATGCGCCACGGGGCCTGATGGGGAATGCGCCATGGGGCCTGATGGGGAATGCGCCACGGGGCCTGATGGGGAATGCGCCATGGGGCCTGATGGGGAATGCGCCATGGGGCCTGATGGGGAATGCGCCATGGGGCCTGATGGGGAATGCGCCATGGGGCCTGATGGGGAATGCGCCATGGGGCCTGATGGGGAATGCGCCATGGGGCCTGATGGGGAATGCGCCATGGGGCCTGATGGGGAATGCGCCATGGGGCCTGATGGGGAATGCGCCATGGGGCCTGATGGGGAATGCGCCATGGGGCCTGATGGGGAATGCGCCACGGGGCCTGATGGGGAATGCGCCATGGGGCCTGATGGGGAATGCGCCATGGGGCCTGATGGGGAATGCGCCACAGGGCCTGATGGGGAATGCGCCACAGGGCCTGATGGGGAATGCGCCATGGGGCCTGATGGGGAATGCGCCATGGGGCCTGATGGGGAATGCGCCATGGGGCCTGATGGGGAATGCGCCACGGGGCCTGATGGGGAATGCGCCATGGGGCCTGATGGGGAATGCGCCATGGGGCCTGATGGGGAATGCGCCATGGGGCCTGATGGGGAATGCGCCATGGGGCCTGATGGGGAATGCGCCATGGGGCCTGATGGGGAATGCGCCATGGGGCCTGATGGGGAATGCGCCATGGGGCCTGATGGGGAATGCGCCATGGGGCCTGATGGGGAATGCGCCATGAGGCCTGATGGGGAATGCGCCATGAGGCCTGATGGGGAATGCGCCATGGGGCCTGATGGGGAATGCGCCATGGGGCCTGATGGGGAATGCGCCATGGGGCCTGATGGGGAATGCGCCATGGGGCCTGATGGGGAATGCGCCATGGGGCCTGATGGGGAATGCGCCATGGGGCCTGATGGGGAATGCGCCACAGGGCCTGATGGGGAATGTGCCATGGGGCCTGATGGGGAATGCGCCATGGGGCCTGATGGGAATGCGCCATGGGCCTGATGGGGAATGCGCCATGGGGCCTGATGGGGAATGCGCCATGGGGCCTGATGGGGAATGCGCCATGGGGCCTGATGGGGAATGCGCCATGGGGCCTGATGGGGAATGCGCCATGGGGCCTGATGGGGAATGCGCCATGGGGCCTGATGGGGAATGCGCCATGGGGCCTGATGGGGAATGCGCCATGGGCCTGATGGGGAATGCGCCATGAGGCCTGATGGGGAATGCGCCATGAGGCCTGATGGGGAATGCGCCATGGGGCCTGATGGGGAATGCGCCATGGGGCCTGATGGGGAATGCGCCATGGGGCCTGATGGGGAATGCGCCATGGGGCCTGATGGGGAATGCGCCATGGGGCCTGATGGGGAATGCGCCATGGGGCCTGATGGGGAATGCGCCACAGGGCCTGATGGGGAATGCGCCATGGGGCCTGATGGGGAATGCGCCATGGGGCCTGATGGGGAATGCGCCACGGGGCCTGATGGGGAATGCGCCATGGGGCCTGATGGGGAATGCGCCATGGGGCCTGATGGGGAATGCGCCATGGGGCCTGATGGGGAATGCGCCATGGGGCCTGATGGGGAATGCGCAAACACCACCGGTGTTTACCATAGCATACAATACAACCACACGTGCACAGCACAGCAAAGCACACAATACAACCACAAAGCACCACACAGCACCGCACAGCACGCACCTGCGTGTTGCCTCCGCTGACGTAGAGCACCACGGGGTCATGGGCACCAGTCACGCAGCGCCCCATCTCTATGTGCGCCACACAGTGGTTCACCGGCACTACGGGCTTGCCCCACAGCTGCTCAATGCTCACGGTGGACGGGGAAGGGGGGGAGAGAGGAGGCGGGGACGGGGGTGAGGAGAGCCTGGGATTGGTTGGCCTCGGAAATTGAATCAATGTGCGCCACACAGTGGTTCACCGGCTATGGGCTTGCACCACAGCTGCTCACCGTGGTAAGGAGGGGAGTCGGGGATGGGGGAGGAGGAGTTGATTGGCCCATGTGTGTGCGCGTCACACAGTGGTTCACTTCACCGGGACTAGAGCCGTTTGAGGCGTCTCAGATGGGTTCACTGGGACAAAAGGCTTCTCACTTCAAGTTTGAGGCTTGAACCACACGGCTTCTCACGGTCACTTCACCTAGCCCCCATTCATGTGCCCTCAACCCACTTCACCTGCCATAACCCCACCTCACCTGCCTCCACCGCGCTTCACCTGGGCGAGCGTGCGGATGACGATGGCAACAGATTGCAGAGGGGCGCCCATGCCCGGCCCCTTGGTGTAGCACAGACAGTCTATGTCCCCCGGTGCTATGCCCGCCTGCTCATGCATGGGCGCACATGCATGCACATGGACATGCATACATGCATGCACATAAACATGTATACATGCACGCACATGGACATACACACTTGCGCACACACACGCGCAGACGCAGACACAGACGCACACGCACAGAGAACATCACAGCCAGAAGCATAACGGTGGGTAAGAGGCGAGTGAGATGGGCCGGGATGTGCAGCACAGGGGCGAGTGAGATGGGCCGGGATGTGCAGCACAGGCAGCCACTCTGTCGTGCGGGGACGGGGAGAGATCAAGCGACGAGCGCACACGCTGCAAAAGAGTCAGGTTGCGTGCGCCAGGGAGGGCAGGTACATGACCAAGTGCGCCAGGGAGGGCAGGTACATGACCAAGTGCGCCAGGGAGGGCAGGTACATGACCAAGTGCACCAGGGAGGGCAGGTACATGACCAAGTGCACCAGGGAGGGCAGGTACATGACCAAGTGCACCAGGGAGGGCAGGTACATGACCAAGTGCACCAGGGAGGGCAGGTACATGACCAAGTGCAACGAGGTGCGTGTGAGGGTGTGGAGGGTGGGGTATGCGTTGAGGGGAGGGGTTAAATAGTGCAGTGCAATACAGGTAGTCCATCGAGGGCGTATGGGGGGAGAGAGAGGGCAGGTTCATTCGTGCACTGCAGGTACTGGATCGACGGACGCCAGCAATCCCGCACGCACCTCGTCGCGCCAGCCCCGCCGCACGCACCTCGCGCAGCGCGCGCTCCACGAGCGGCAGAATTTTCTGCTGGTGGTGCGCTGCCGTCTCGCGCGGGAGGAAGCCGTGGCCGGGCGGCGTGATGTACGTGCAGCGCGGGTTGCTCAGAATGCTCCCGTCACTGCGCACCACGCCCACGCCCAGCTTGTTCGCCGACCCCTCCACGCCCAGCGCCAACATGACGCGCGATTGGCGAAAAGAGGAATTCGGGACGGGGAGGTGAGGGCGGTCGGAGGGGTAAGAAGGAATGGAGTCGTGTGCTTTTGACTTCGTGACTAAAATAACCGAAGTCACCTCGCTACAATATCAGACGGAACAATTTGTAGGAGAGGGCTGCTTTCACAGGCACATGAAACCCTGTTAGCGAAAGTTTCAGAAATCTGGGCGGGGCGAAAATGATAGTACTTGGCGAAACAAAGAAGGGGTTCGTCACTCAGCTTCAACGGAACTGAGAGCAGAGCACTGACGATGCATGTCCGCATTTGTGGGAAACGCGGAGTTAAAGCGGATTAAAAAATGGAACATATATCTGTATACACGAATAAGAGCACATTCTATCCTAGAAAAAAACGGGTTAACTATGGATTTCTATACAGTATTTTTACGTTATTTTTTGGGTTGCGTAGCAACCCTACATAATTGGTTTCACATTTTCGGGATATTATTTCAAGAGTGATAGTTTAAAGCCAGGGTCTCATGTAAAGGTTGGCCGATCAACTGCAAAGCACTTGGCATGAGTGGTTACCCGGTGACTCAAAACGAAAAGTGGGCAATGTTGGAATTACAGAGACCAACATTGCGACGCTCAAAACACATCAAACGATTGAAGCCCAACCCTACTGGTCGAGTTCACTGACAAAAGCAACTGCACAACAAGCAGCGCAGTACATGAGACTATCTGCTCAAAATTCGTCAGGTACGCCGTCTCCCACGTGTTTTGCACAGCAACCCTAGCACATCAGCGAACAAACGACAGACCTGACCGATCGCGACCTATCCACGTCCCTTCACGGACAACACAGCTAAATAGTGCCTACCCACCCTATCCACGTCCCTTCCATGTACAGCATTCCAGAATCTATGTCTCTATTTTGTCCCCGCCTCCTTCGCTAAACTCCCACGCGTAATGACCACAATAGCATTGGGCGCCCCATGCGATACGATCGGCCCGGGGTTTGCACCTTGCAATCACGCTACTGCGGTATGGAAAAGCGCAGCGGTGCCACAAATGGCTCTGCCTTGCGGTCTCACGTTCCTTCCTACCCTGCAAGCCTCACCCTTTTCTTACCAAAAGTATCCAATTACACTTACCTGCACTCTCACATCCCTCGAACCCTGCAGGTCTTACATTCCCTTTCCCTGCATTTCCTCTCAGTCGCAAGCCTAGCACTCACACATTCCCCTACCCTGCACTCTCACATTCCCCTACCCTGCACTCTCACATTCCCCTACCCTGCACTATCACAGGCCCCAACCTTGCCCTCTCACATTCCCCTACCCTTCACTCTCACATTCCCCTACCCTTCACTCTCACATGGCCCAACCCTGCACTCTCAAATTCCCCTACCCTGCACCTTCACATTCCCCTTCCCTGCACTCTCACATTCCCCTTCACTCTCACATTCCCCTACCTTGCACTCTCACATTCCCCTACCCTTCACTCTCACATGCCCCAACCCTGCACTCTCACATTCCCCTACCCTGCACTTTCACATTCCCCTTCCCTGCACTCTCACATTCCCCTTCACTCTCACATTCCCCTACCTTGCACTCTCACATTCCCCTACCCTTCACTCTCACATTCCCCTACCCTGCACTCTCACATTCCCCTACCCTGCACTCTCTCCAAGGGGAGTAGAACAGTAGGGGAAGGGGAGTAGAACCGTGGGGGACGGGGAGTAGAACCGTGGGGAAAGGGGTGTAGAACCGTGGGGAAACGGGAATAGAACCGCGGGGGAAGGGGAGTAGAACGTGGGGGAAGGGGTGTGAAACAGTGGGGGATGTTGCATTGGAAGCGTGGGGGAAGGGGAGTGGAAGGGTGGAGGAAGGGGGAGTGGAACAGTGGGGGAAGGGGAGTGGAACAGTAGGGGAAGGGAAGTGGAACAATGGGGGAAGGGAAGTGGAAGCGTGGGGGAAGGGGAGTAGAACCGTGGGGAAAGGGGGAGTGGAACAGTGAGGGAAGGGGAGTGAAAGCGTAGGGGAATGGGAGTGGAGGCGTTGGGGAAGAGGAGTGGAAGCGTGGGGGAAGGGGAGTGGAAGCGTGGGGGAAGGGGAGTGGAAGCATGGGGGAAGGGGAGTGAAAAAGTGGCCCATGTTACATTGGCGGCATTGTGGAAGGGGAGTACTTCCGTGGGGAAACGGAAGTAGAACCGTGGGGGAAGGGGAGTAGAACCGTGGGGGAAGGGGTGTGAAACAATGGCGGATGTTGCATTGGAAGTGTGGGGGAAGGGGAGTACTTCCGTAGGGGAAGGGGAGTAGAACCGTGGGGGAAGGGGAGTAGAACTGTGGACGAATCGGAGTGGAAGCGTGGGGGTAGGGTGTCAAAGTTATATGCTATAGTCTGTGTAGGCTGTCGTGGGGTAGTTCATATAGGGTACAACACTTCTAGGTTTCCTACTTGTACCCAACTGCTTGCTCAATCAATCATTCCTTCCTTCACTATTCTGACATGGTTTCAGAGCACGTTCCCTAGTGGAAACGTTTTTAAGGGCCCACCACGATCGTTTTCCTGCCCTGCTTGAAGCGCGCCTCGCGCCTGCCTCACCTGCGCCGTCGCGCGCTCTGCCCTATTGCCGCCCGTAACGGCCCTGCCCTACCGGCCCGTCGCGGCCCTGCCCTAACGGCCCGTCGCGGCCCTGACCTAGCCGCCCTTCGCGGCCCTGCCTTGCCGCCCCCCGTTGCGGCCCTGACCTCGCCGCCCGTCGCGGCCCTGCCCTGCCGCCACCCGTCGCGGCCCTACCCTGCAGCCGCCTTGTCGCGGCCCTGCCCTGCTGCCGCCCCGTCGCGGCCCTGCTCTGCCGTCGCCTCGTCGCGGCCCTGCCCTACAGCCGCCGCGTTGCGGCCCTGACCTAACCGCCCGTCGCGGCCCTGCCCTGCACCCGCTCCTGGTAAGCGTGTCGCCCCTGCCCTGCCCGTCGCGTCACCCTAGGGCACGCGCGCCGCCCCTGCCCTGCCCGTCGCGTCACCCTAGGGCCACCGCGCCCTGCCCTGCCCGTCGCGTCGCCCTAGGGCACGCGCGCCGCCCCATACAAGCCGCCCGCGCACTGCCCCTGCAGCCCGCGAGCCACCCCTGCAGCCCGCGAGCCGCCTCTGCAGCGCCCAGCGCACCCTGCCAAACCCTAAAAAAAAAAAAAAAAAAAAAAAAAAAAAAAAAAAAGAGGAGCCCTAGGTGCTACTACCCTAAGAGCTACTACTGCTGCTACAGCTGTTACTGCTGCTACTGCTGCTACTGGCGGTGGCCAGATGCAGCTCCAGCGACGTCCGCGCGAGTCCCTCACGCCCCAGCAGCTTCGTGAGTGGTACGCTAGTTGGGGTTGTGGCGGCGGCCGTAGTGGCGGTCGCCCTGGAGCTGGTCAGTCGGGTGCTTCTGGCAGTGGCCAGATGCAGCTGCAGCGGCGTCAGCGCAAGACCCTTACGCCCCAGTGTTGATCGACTGGATCCGCGGTGCTCGTCGCCAGCTCAGCGAGAGTTTCGGCTCGGACCTTCCTGTTCTGCGTCTGCACTCAGACAGAGGTGGTGAGTTTTCCTCCGACCTTCTGAGGGCCTTCTGTCATGCAGAGGGTATCCGCCAGACGTTCACGCTTCCGGCCTCCCCACAGCAAAATGGGATTGCTGAGAGCCGCATTGGCATGGTCATGGACGTCGCTCGTACGTCCATGATCCATGCGGCTGCTCCCCATTTTCTGTGGCCGTTCGCGGTTCAGTACGCTGCGCGTCAGATCAACCTTCAGCCTCGTGTCTCCTTGCCGGAGACCACACCTACTCTGCGGTGGACGGGGAAGGTTGGCGATGCGTCTATGTTCCGTGTCTGGAGATCTCGAGCTTTTGTCCGCGATTCTTCCGCGGACAAGCTGTCCTCCCATGCCGTTCCCTGTGTCTTCCTTGGCTTCCCCCCTGACGCGCCTGGGTGGCAGTTTTACCACCCCACCTCGCGTCGTGTTCTGTCCTCTCAGGACGTCACGTTTGACGAGTCGGTATCTTACTACCGTCTCTTTCCCTACCGCACTGCCCCTCTCCCCCCCCTGCCGCTCTTCCTAGCATCAGGTGCTCCTCCGGTAGACCCCCTCCCCCCTCAGGGTCCTGCCCCCTCAGGTGTGTCCCAGGTAGACCCTGTCGAGCCTGTCGAGGTAGCTGTCGACTCTGGTACTGCTAGGGGTGCTGAGCCTGCGGGTGCGGGTGCGGGGCCTGGGGGTGCTGAGCCTGGGGTTGCTGAGTCTGGGGGTGCTGAGCCTGAGGGTGCGGAGCCTGGGGGTGCTGAGCCTGAGCGTGTGGAGCCTGGGGGTACTGAGCCTGGGGGTGCTGCGTCTGGGGGCGCTGAGCCTGAGCGTGCTGAGTCTGGAGGTCCTCCGGGAGTCTTGTCACGGCGGGAGTCCCTCTCTCCACAGCAGCTGCGAGAGTGGTACGCTCGGCGCTGTCGCCGTGTTGCTGGAGCTGCTGGAGTTGGAGCTGCTAGAGGTCTTGCTGGTACTGGAGCTGCTGGGGGCGCTGGAGCCGCTGGTCCCGGAGGTGCTCGCACTGGAGGTGCTGGAGCTACTGGAGTTGGAGCTGCTGGAGCCGCTAGTCTTGGAGGTGCTCGTACTGGAGGTACTGGAGCTGCTGGAGCTGGTGGTGCTACAGGAGTTGGTGCTGCTGGTGCTGGAGCTGGTGGTGCTGCGGGAGTTGGAGCTGCTGCTGCTGGAGGTGCTGCTGGTGCTGGAGCTGTTGCTGCTGGAGGTGTTGCTGGAGCTGGAGCTGCTGGAGGTGCTACAGCTGGTGGTGCTGCGGGAGTTGTAGCTGGGGACCCTGGAGCTGGGGGTACTGGTGCTGTCTCTGCTGGTTCTGGAGGCACTGCGCGGCCGCGGCCGTACTACGTTCCGCTCCTTCAGCAGGTTCTTGGCCTCCCGCCTTCTACTGGTCTTCCTCCGCCCTTACTGAGTCCACCGCCTGTCCAGTCGCAGTCGCAGTTACAGCCAGCCTCTCCACTGCCTGGTCCTTCTCCTTACTCTGGACCGACTAGAGGTCTTACGGAGCGTCGTGAGCCTGAGTCTCGTCCTCCATCGCCTGAGTCTCGTCCCGCGTTGCTTGAGTCTCGTCCTGAGTCGCCTGTTCGCGCTGTCCGCACTGGTCGTCGTGTTCCGCGTCAGCGTCTTCCTCCTGTCCCCTGCACTCACTATATGACTCTGCGTCCTTCCACTGCTCCACAGCGTGTCCCTCTGCCGTCTCCTCCTGCGTCCTCTCTTCCTGACGGTCCGGACCCGGAGTCTAACTCCCTTCGTGCTGCTAGTCCTACTGTCACGCGTTTCCTGGCCACTGTTGTCACGGACCCTTCGTTTGAGTCCACAGCTGCGTCTGCTCTAGTTGCTGAGCTTGTTGACTTTGCTGCCGCCTGTCGTCTAGACTACGCCACTAGCCTTGTTGCTGGGTCTAAGTCTGACTCTGTCTGTCCTCCGTCCGTCGGGGGTGAGTGTGCTCTTGGCACGGACGTCCTTGAGGACAGACAGGAGGAGTTTGAGTGCTTTGCCGCTGCTTTACCTCATCTCGTGTCCATGCTGCTTGCCCCTGAGGGAGACCCGGATGCACCAGACATCCCGACCCCGTGCTCTTACGCAGAGGCGATAGAGGGTCCCTACTCCTCTCAGTGGCAGACAGCCATGGACGCAGAGATGGCTTCCTGGAAGTCCACATGCACCTACGTCGACGAAGTTCCCCCACCTGGGGCGAACATCGTCGATGGCATGTGGATTTTCAGGGTGAAGCGGCCGCCGGGTTCTCCGCCTGTCTTCAAGGCGCGTTACGTTGCACGAGTTTTCAGTCAGCGACAGGGAGTTGACTTCTTCCAGACCTTCTCCCCTACCCCGAAGATGACCACTCTTCGGGTGCTGCTGCACGTCGCCGCTCAGCGTGACTACGAGCTTCACTCTCTTGACTTCAGCACTACTTTCCTACAGGGCAGCCTGCACGGGGAGATCTGGCTGCGCCGCCCACCTGGCTTCACTGGGTCGTTTCCTGCTGGTACCCAGTGGAGCCTCCGGCGGCCAGTCTACGGTCTCCGCCAGGCACCCCGTGAGTGGCACGACACACTGAGGACGACTCTTGCTGCTCTTGGGTTTGCTCCTTCTACTGCTGACCCGTCGCTGTTTCTACGCACCGACACCACTCTGCCGCCGTTCTACGTTCTCGTGTACGTAGACGACTTGGTCTTTGCTACTGCTGACACTGAGGCACTCGCCCACGTGAAGTCGGAGCTGCAGAAGAGACACACGTGCCTAGACCTGGGTGAGCTGACAAGCTATCTTGGCTTGCGGATCACCCGGGACAGAGCACAGCGCACCATTACCTTGACGACTACACATGGTGCAGCAGGTCCTTCAGCGCTTCGGCTTCACGTACTCCTCGCCACAGTCCACTCCTCTGCCTACCGGTCACTCGCTCTCAGCTCCACCTTCGGACGAGTCCGTAGAGCCGAGTGGCCCGTATCCAGAGCTTGTAGGCTGCCTCATGTACCTGATGACCTGCACTCGACCTGACCTTGCCTACCCTCTTAGCATTCTAGCACGCTATGTCGCTCCTGGCCGACACAGGAAGGAGCACATGGATGCAGCTAAGAGGGTGTTGCGCTACTTGTGCAGTACGTTGGGCATGGGGCTCGTGCTTGGAGGACGGGCTCGATTTGTCCTCACTGGTCACGCAGACGCTTCCTGGGCTGACGACTTGGCTACGCAGCAGTCGTCACAGGGTTACACATTCAGTCTTGGCTCCGGCTCTGTCTCTTGGCGGTCTACCCGCTCGTCTTCTGTTCTCAGCTTCAGTTGTGAGGCTGAGATCTACGCAGGGGCCATGGCTGCACAGGAGTTACGCTGGCTCACCTACCTGCTGACCGACCTGGGAGAGCCGCCTCGTTCTCCTCCAGTGCTGTATGTCGACAATAAGGCCATGATTGCCTTGTGTCAGGAGCACAGACTGGAGCACAGGACGAAGCACATCGCTCTGCGCTACTTCCTTGCTCGAGAGTTGTAGCAGCATGGTCAGCTTCGTCTTGCTTACGTGGCCACTCGGGCCAACACTGCTGATGTCTTCACCAAGGCGCTTCAGCCTTGTGATCATCAGCGTTTTTG